AATCCAAATATACTCCCCTCAAATTGACAAATCTTCAAAGTTATAAATGAAAACCACAAAGTTTTTTATTATTAGCCACAAATTGGGGCTCTCCTGATCAGATATTTTTAATTACACATTTCTTCTTTAGAAAGCTCAAGGGACCAGGTGAGCCGTACTTTCCTAACGAGTGTGGGATTCCTTACAACTCCCAGGTGAATCGCCTGCCTGGAAAAGGCAATTGTCTTGGTTGAGTAGGAATTAATGTTGAAGGTATGGAAAAGGAAGTCGACTTGATTCAGTCTTCACTAGCCTGTCACAGATGCTAAATTCAAGTTTCATCTGAGGCACCAAAATAGAATAGACATGAAATTCCAAGTGAGGTGCCAAGATGCAGACTTTCAAACAAAATACCAAAGACCAGTTTCATGAGTTTAAAACTCCTCACCCAAAGAAAGAAATAAAAGTGTCTAAGAAGTGGAAGATTCAGTGAGGAGTATTTTCTTGGTGAGAGCTGTGCTGTGATTCCCCTCACCGAGGGTAGGGAAGGAGGGCTTCAATGGGCCACTCAGAGAACAGTCACCTACAGTCGGGGGCACAGGGGATTGATGTCTGACTCCAGCCCTGGAATCAAAAGACCAGGAGAGAGGAACTGGTGAGTTTCTTTGCCAACGGGGAGAACAGCTGTTGTTAGGACTGTTCTGCACTCTCAGTTTACTGGAGAAAAGTAGGCGGGAGTGTTTCTATAGACCAGAGGTGGGACCAGAGGAGAGAACCATCCTGTAGCCCCTTTAAGTCTTGCTCAAGAAGACAGCTGGGGTGCGGGTAGAGGATAAACTGGGACTCCTAACAGAAGGAGGCAGTTTGGAGGGGACCTCAGGAAAGCCAGATCTGAATGGGGAGCAGGTAACCAAAAGAGTGGCACCTGCCCATGTTGAAGGGCCAGCAGGGAGGCTGCCCAAGAACACATGAAAGCATCCACAAGACAAAGAGCTGGCCTGACACCTTCGCTGGGCCTGGAAAATGTGTCGCTGTCTTACAACTGTCCCAGCCAAGTAAGAACTTTCTTGCCCTCCTTTTCTCTCCTCCCTTCCCTACTCTACTATCCTGGAAGTGTAAAAACCAGCAGGTATTAAGTAGGGGCGGAGATGAGCAAGGAAAAGAGAGGCTGACTGCATCCTCTTTCCTAAAGGCTGGAGAACTGCCTGTGACCAGCTCTAGATGGAGGAAGAGGAGAGAATTATTACCTCTGAATAAAGATTGAAGTGTTTAGTAATATATTGGTTTGGACATTCTAACAGAAAGATTCTAGTGCTTTCTATAACCTGTAAGTGACCAAAAAAGCTATATCCAATGGCAGGGGTGGAATTACCCCCATTGAGCAAGTCTAAAGGGAGAGTGAGAGAAAATACTAAAATTGCTTTTATAACTTTACCTTGGAAGTACTGCTTCCTCAATGAATTGGTTCTACCACCAGCAGGAGTGATGGATGTGTTTTTATAACCCACCTTCCATGAGGTACTTAAAACATGGTGAATCAGAATCTTCCCGTACACAGATATGAGTGAATGCCCAATCTATGATGGAATTCCTAGAGATGGGAAAAATTTTGTAACTATAAGTGGTGATGGATGTTAACTAGACTCGTGGTGGTGATCATTTTGCAATAGTTTATACAAATATCAAATCATTATGTTGTACACTTGAAACTAATATAATGTTATAGGTCAATTATGTCTCAGTAAAAAAGATAGTTTAATTATATCCATACATTAGAATATTTTGTAGCCAGTAAAAATTTTTAATGATGATTTTAAAAAAACATGTAAAGCATCTTTCCATTCCAAGCAGAAAAAGTAGCCTACATAATATTAACGTTTTCAAGTCTGTATGAATACATGTATCTATATACATGTATATATAATTGAATCTAAGTAGCTAGTTATATGCATGTGATTGTATCTATTTAAAATAGAAAAGTTCAGAATGAAATGTGCTAAAATATTAACAATGTTATTGCTAGGTGGTGGAATTATGGGTAATTTTTACTTTTTCCCTATACTTTTATTTTCTCCCAGAAGATCAATATATGTTCTTTTTGTTCCCTATCAAACAGATTTATTTTTATTATTTACTTTTTGACAGTTTTATAGAATATAATTTGCATACCACAAAATTTACTCATTGTAAATATACCATTGGATTGTTTTTAAATTTACAGAGTTGTGCATCCATCACCACAATCCAATTTTAGAACATTTCCATCACTCGAAAAAGATTCCTTGAGCCCATTTGCAGTCACTCTCCATCCCCACTCCCCAGACCTAGGCAAGCCCTAATCTCCTTTCTGTCTCTATAGATTTGTCTTTCCCGGACATTTTATATAAATGAAATCATACAGTATGTGGTCTTTTTTGGTCTGGCTTGATTTATGTTCTTTCAAAGAAAGAAAAAGAATAACTATTCCTTGATTCTTTGCCTTTCCCATCGAAACCAAACAAAATCCCTTATTTTCTTCCTCTTCATAATGAAATCCCTATTTTCTTTGTCTTCGTAATAGGACAACCATCAACGGCTCCTCCTTTACTCCTGGAGCTCTTGACCAACAATCAAACCCCCTTCAGACCACAAGAATAACCTGTAGAATAGTAGAGTTATTCCTGACATTTCAAGGATCTCTTCTATCCTTACTCCTCACAAGTTTCCCTATTTTTACATGAAAAAAACAATTCATAACTTTTGTTCTTATCACTTGGGCAGTCATTTTTGACCTGCATTCTACTTTCCTTCTATTGACAACCAGTGACACCATCTCTGATGTGCAAGAGCTTTGGAATCAGACAGACCCGAATCCTGTTCAGGGACCCCCCCTCCTCCAGTAGCTGGGGTCTTCTGAGCAAGGTATCCACCCCTCCTGAGGCTCAGTGTCCTAGTGAGCATCTGGAGTTACTGGAACCTACCTCCAGGGCTGGATGGGGAATTGTGAGTGCTCTGGGTAAGCTAATGATTGTGAGTGCTCCTTCGAAAGGATATTCTTTAAATAACTTTTCAACTTCTATTTAGAGGAAAAGCAGAGCCCCCACACAGCAAAACAAAAGCCTTGCAGTCCAGTAGCCCAGCACTCCTTCAGATGCAGGTGAGACTCCTTGGGGTCTCACTCTCACTCCAAGCAGCTCATCCGCGTCTTCCTTCCCACTCAATCAACACTCGCCCTGAACGTACTGATAAACACAATTTTCTCTATTTCATTACATCTTCAAAGATATTTGTCCCTCCTTGTGGAGTAGTGCCCTGGACATCTGTCTTTCTGGCTCTGCTTCACAGAATGTTCTGAAGAGTAAATGAGATAACACATGTAGAGAACTCTGCACAACGTCTGACACTCAGGATATGCTGAATAAATGGTGACTATTATTAGTATCACGGCCAAAAACTATGGCAACTCTGAGCCTCTGTGTAATGACAAGTCACCTGCAGTCCTTTTTTCCTCTAACTCCTTACTTATAAGCATTCTCTGAGTAAAGGCATTTTGAGAAAGCATTTGGTGACCCTGAAACATTCTCAAGAGCTCTCTGATGTCTTTATAAATGAATCTTAATAAATACAGGAGATTCATTTCGCCTTCATACCTCTACCATAAAAAAGCAACAACATAAACACCTTTGGTAATCTTTGTACAGTATAACATTTTAAATGTTATTTACCTTAAACATGATAGAAATTAACAGGATGGAGGTCAACTGGGCGACCAGCACTGAGGAGGGAGGTGTTGCTGAGGGAAGGGTGGCAGGTCCAAAACCAGATCCTGGCTAGCAGAGGGGAAAAGGCAATTTTATTAGGATAAAAGCATGCCAGAGTGCACCTGCTGTTTCATTCTCTCCAGTCTCCTTGAACCTCCTCTGAGCAGCGGAGTGAGAGGAGGGCAGGAGAGGAAAAAAAAACAAAGTAAGGAAAGCAATGCTCTGTTTCTTTTTCCATTGTCTACCCCCAAATGCAGACCATAAGTATCAAAATAGTGCCTGGTAGTAGTCCAAAAGATTTAACTCATCCCCAAATTCCTAAACGACCGTCAGAGCGTCATTTGATTTTTGGCAGTGTAACTGAACAACTTCTAGGCGTAACGTTTGTTGTGCACACTTACAAGAGACAGGCTATAGTGACCACCCATTCAACACTCCAGCCATGGAAAGAGTGGCATGTGTGGTCAGCCATCCAAGTGAACCCAAGTGCCTTGGGTTCTTGCCCTGCAATCCCCAAACCTCAGTTCTGTTTGTGTTTCTTTTCATCATGCAAGTGATGGAAGCCCAAGCAGGTCCAAGGTTCAAGGCCAGAGACTTCAGTTTGTCATCCCCTTGGTCACCACTGGTCACCATCCTGGCCCACTGGCCTTCCCTCCCGGCTTCCAGCAATGTCCACACTGCCTCTGCATTCCATTCCAGCCCTTCTTCACCCTCAGGAGAAACTGTCCCCTGGCTTCCACACTCAAAGACCACTGTGGGTGTTCCCATCCCAAGCCCTGATAGCCCTCCTCTCCATCCCTTTTTAACGGGGAAACAGGAAAAGGGAGCAAGAAACCGCTACCAAGTTTTGACAGCTGCTGAGGAAGACTAATGGGTTTCTAAGGAAACAGAGAGGCAGCAGCCATTTTAGTGGCATTTGCTGTATGAAAAATATATAGACACTGACATCCCCCTCCCCGCCCGGGCGCCTTCCCTCCCTCCACGCTTCAGAGGCCTCGAGGTGAGGAGTGGGTTCAGGTCTCTCTGAGGCGCAGCGCCCACCTGTCGCAGGTGGCCAGGTGGCCGGCCACCCGGGGTCGCCACCTAGCCCCCTCCCCGCAGCGGGCGGGACCGCGGGACTCCCCACCCCCAGGCGCCGCAGTGCGGCGGCGGGCGGGC